CGCCATACCGATGTTGCTGTAGGAAGCAGCTAATGAGGGATGATTTGGACGTAGAGTTTTTGCTTTAATTTTAAGTGCTTTGTCGTAAAACTCAAGTGCTTTCGAATAGTCACCCATGTTTTTATACGTAACACCAATGTTGTTGTAGGAAATAGCCAATGAGGGATGATTCGGAGGTAGAGTTTTTTCTTTAATTTTAAGCGCTTTATCGTAAAAATGAAGTGCTTTCGAATACTCATCCATGCTGTCATGCGTAGCACTAATGTTGCTGTAGGATTTAGCCAAATCGGGATGATTTGGAGGCAAAGTTTTTTCGTATATTTTAAGTGCTTTATAGTAGAACTCAAGTGCTTTCGAGTAATCACCCATGTTTTCATATGTAACACCGATGTTGTTGTAAGAAGTTGCCGAATCGAGATGATTTGGAGGTACAGCTTTTTCGTGTATTTTAAGTGCTTTGTCATAAAACTCAAGTGCTTTCGAGTAGTCACCCATGTCGGCATACGTTAGACCGATATTAGTGTAGGTAGGAGCCAATGAAGGATGATCTTCTTGGAGAGTTTTTCGCTCGATTTCGAGTGTTTTTTCATCAAATGAAGCTGCTTCTTTGTATTTCCCTTGGTCACGTTTTAAGCATCCAAGCTGGTGATAAATATATGCTCTATCACTGTCGCTAGAATCGTTCTTGAGTAATCCGTTGTAAAGTTCTTCAGCTTGATTGAAGTCACCCATTTTGAGCATCAATTTACCCATTCGATACCATCCAGTTCCATCAATCTCTTCTCGTATCCGTTTGGTGAGAGCAGCCAGTTGTGGATCATTGACGTCTGTGAGAGTCAATTGTACTTCCCATAGATAACGATTGTTGGCCGTCTGTTGAATTTCGCCAACACGAAAGACAGTGTGCATTGAAAAGAGAATTTCTTGTTCCTCTGAAAAATTACTGCAATCATTGATAAGGGCGAATGGAGTACTTGAAGTCGAAATTTTACTAGGATTAATTGTCATTTTAAAGAGAACACCCACGATGTCTTTGTCTTTGTGCGATGTAGATGGAGCAAATGCCAGAGCTACGTGTTTATCTTTACTGGTAGACAAGAAATTATTGAATGATAGAAGTCCACCTTTTGTATCCAGTAGATGCTCGAAGTCTTGTTTGGAAAGTCCTTGACCGCGATAAACGATAAATTGTTTTTTATTCGCACCCGATTGTTCCTGTTGTAACTGTTGCAGTTGTCGATGCAGGTTTCGGATAAAAAAACCCATTTTGATCATGGCTTCCGTATCAAGTGATCGCAAGGCACAGTTAAGCATTTTGTACAAGAAAATACCACAGGTATACAACCAGACTGGTGATTTCAGGTAGTATTGGTCCTGAAAATTTTTCAATTCAGATTCTGAGACATTTTGTTGTCGACAATAAGCTACTAGATCTTCTAACGGTTTTGCATCATCTTCATCGATTTCTAAGATGATTTCCTTGAATAACAATGAGTACATATAAGATGGTTCCAATTGATCGAGATTTTGTTGATTCGATGCTGTTGTTGGTATCATTCGCTTCGGAACAAAGCTCATCGGGATTGTGTTATGATCACATTGGCGAGCAACCTGTTTTAACGATTCACATATTGGTTCTATTGAAGTGAATATACCTTCAATCTTTGACCAATTTTTGACCCATGCCTTGTGTCGAGATTCGTTGCTACAGAAGATATAAATAGTATGTAATTGTGACATATCATGAATTTGTGGCACCAGATGTTGACCTAAGGTACCGGAAGAAATGATGAGAATTTTTTCGTCTTTCATGTCATTAAGACATTTGATACATTGTGTCGGTTCGGTACAGAGTGTGACTTCATTGACTACACTACGCAGTCGCGCGAGTGTATTTTGACAATCTGGATTTGTTTCATCAATACTACCATCGATCCAGATGAGCAAATAATTTTGAACCATACGTCGTCTTGGTTGAATAATATTTAATGTTGTTGTTGATTTGGAAACTGTTTTCTTGGATTGTTCTTCAGCCATATTGAATGTAATTTTTGTTGATCTATCGAGTATTGTGATCAATAATAGATTCTTTGTTCGAACAGAAATCACTTTTTTGTATTAATAGAATTGATACACGCTATTTACTCTCTTGATTATTCTACGACGTCAAATGCGAGTGTTTTTTTTAGTTGACGCTCAACGACGAATTCCGATTGATTTCACGTGAAAATATGGTTATCTACAACAAATGAAAGAGAAAAGCCCAACAATGTCATTTTTTTACGGTTAATCTTTCTAACTTCCGCTTGCTCTTTATTTTCATATTAATAATTGATTGTGCCATGGTGGCATTGACTAAAAATAAGAGAAAAATATAAGCGGATGCCTAGTCTGGCCGGAAGCCCCAATTCATTTTCTGTCGCATAGCTCTTTTATATTATGTCAGAAAAAATTAATTTCTTTATCAATTATAGTACTTGCAAAATGCAGATAATCTGTCATTGTTTAGCTTCTATATTGTTTTCCAAACCAAAATTATCCAACGTCTTTCAAAAAAACTGTTCGACTGTGTCGCAACATTTTGAAAAGATGCTCGTTTACAGTTTTTTGAAACACGTTGGATAGTTTTGGTTTGGAAAACAATATAGAAGCGAAACAATGACAGATTATCTGCATTTTGCGAGTACTATAATTGATAAAGAAATTAGTTTTTTCTGACATACTATAGAAGATGTGCGACAGAAAATAAATTGGGGCTTTCAGCCAGACTGGGCATCTCCATAATTTCAGAGAAAAAAAAAGAGTTATCAGGTTACGACGTCTATCACATCTGTTAAACATATGTCATAGACGTACACATAGAAGTATAAACAAGAAAAGAAATTAGAGATATTGGAACGCCAAAGCTGTAAGCATACAATGCATGAACATTAAGATCGAGTAAAATAAATAATAGACATACACTTCTTACAGTTTAAGCACTACAAATTTATGTTGGTGTAATGAAATATTTATATGTAAATACATTCAGTAATATAATTGCATTGTTAAAATACTCATGTTATTTACATAGGATATTCGCAAATTCTAACCAATCCATTCTGTTATTATGTATGAATGAGATAATACATGAGATTTAATTCAAAATCTAATAAATGAGAATAAATGTAGTAGTTTTTTATGATAAATCTTTTATTCATATGGAAATGTTCGATTTTATGCGATATTTAATGAAACATGTCTTATGTTATTAATACAGGATGGTATTACTACATAATGTTATTACATTGTGTTGACCTTCAACTGATACATCGCTGTCTCCTTGTTTCAGCTCATAATCTATGCAGTTTGTCTAAGGAAGATTCATTAGAACTTTACGTTAAACTCAATATTCAAAGAAGATTAAAAAAATATACACACAATGATCCTTGGTCGTTCACTCTTCTATAATGACATTTATATTTGGGATGACTTTCACAAAAGATAGAAGGATCACCTTGACCAGTTTTTTCATACTAATCGGGTACAACAATTGAAAGAAAAGCATGAATCGCTTCTGCTTAAATGGATATCATTTATTGAATTAAACTAATGGTGTGCAAAGAGTATCACATATAATTACTCTATATCTCTCTGCCTTTCTTCCTCTCATTCTTTCTCCTTTTTATTTATTTATTTTAGTTTCGTTGCTTTATTTTTTTTCTGGCCTTGAAAGCATACGTATATTCTGTTTCGCTGTCATTTTTCTCTGCTCTTCTCCCTCTCGTTTTGCTTCATGTCTTTTCTGATGCATTCTTTTTTGGTACCCTTTCTTTTTCATTATATTCTTCTCTTCTTTCTCCTTCTTCATTTTTTTTTCTATCTTCATTTTACGCTCTTAACCCCAATCCCAGCTGAGTAAATATTCGATACAAATATGATGCTAGTAATAATTAAAATCATCGTATTTATGTTGTTGCTGAGTGCTTAAGTATTTATTATTTCTCCCTATATTACCATGTAAGCATCTCCAAGTATTACATTTAAATGCACAATAAAAAGAAAGTATATTATTACATTAAATTATCTTGAAATACATTCGCATAGATTTATATGATAATATCAATCATGTTTAGAGATGTATCGAGATCGATAGTCTCGGTCAGTCTCGGTATCAGTATTAGTTTCAAAGAATCGTTTCTTGAAAAACCTAAGCATCTCGAAGAGTATATTTGTACAATTTTCATTGAGCAAAAATTAGTTCTTTTTTATTGTAATCACATTTTGAAACAGTATATACTACTGTCACATATTCCTAATGACCTTCTTATTTGAATTTATTTTGTTCTATCTCAATCTAAACCTTGATCTATCTTGGTTTTAATATCAGTTTTGAAAGTTTGAATTGTAAAAACAATTATTATTCATATTCAATTGGTAGAATATTATTTTCACTTAAACATCACTATGAAGAAGGAATATTCGCATCGAACGATGAGTTCCGACTCTTGATCACATATGTAAAATATTGATTATGCATCAATAATAGTATTACGTTTGATTTTAAGAGTGAGATTGTCTATTTTCTTTCACCATATTTCTTTTTATTAATGAATATCATTCAATTACGAGTGAAAATCGAAAAATGATTACAGAGAAAGAAAATAGATCGATTTGTTGACAGTTTTGTTATATACAAAAAAAAATTTTAATAGATGAATACTTAAAAAGAATATAGTTATACACTTTCGGGAACGATAAACATAATCAAGAAACACGAAATGACAAGAAATTTTCTAAGAGGAAAGAAAAATAACAATTTATCACTAATTGTGTCTCACATTTCATAACTGTTCATTAACATCGAAATAGTGTAAGTTGGAAAGAAAATACGTTTATTCCTTGCTGTAGTGAATTTTTTTTCTCCCACCTACTTTTTCTTATGCATTCGAAAACAATTTCGAAAATCTATTAAAAAGAAAAAGATAAAATAACCAAAGGATTAAAAAACGAAGCTCCATATGTTGACAACATTTTTGAATGAAAAAGTTGTAACATTCACAACTCGACCACAAGTCATTCAGTTTTCATCATTAAATTCTAAAAATACAACAGCCACGACAACAAATATGGACGAAGCACAAGTTCAAAGTCAATCAAGTAATCAGACACAGCAAGAAGCTGATGTTTTACCTGTGAAATCAGAAATATTGAATTATGCCACCAAGTTACAGAACGTTAAAGCTAAATGCAATAGCTGTAATCGTGAGATTACATCCAAAGATCGTTCTACATCTAGTCTATGTCGGCATTTACGCCGTTGTATGAATGTCTCAAAATATTCTATAAATGGTAGTAATATTTTCAACTGAAAAGATTAAATTTTTATTAACGTTTAATCGAAAAAATTTTATAGTAGCATGTAGATCACTTACATCTGAATATGCATTTAGTGTAGCTTGGTATGTTGGACGAAAAAAAGATGTAGATTGACTCCTGAAAATCTTAGTACGTTACTTTTTCTAAAGGATAAAGCTATAGATAGCATTTAGTTTTAAAGATAAGACTTAGTATGAATTTCAGAAGTTCTTTGTATTTTTTTTTACTATTCCTAAGATGTATTGCTTTTTTCTATGTATATTCTCTGTTACAACTAGGAATTTTCTTATTTCTTATTGAAATGTTAAAAAAGTATGTATCATGGTAATCATATATTATTACTTCTCACATACTATCTGTACTTTTTTATAATAGGTAATAAACTATGAAATAATATATTTGCTTCTCTAGTGCAAATAACAATCTTTGAACTTCATACTACCTGCGCCTAAGTTGACAATGACTAAATATATTAGATTTGAGAAAACAGTTTGCGTATTAGGCTTGGTTGGCAAACATGAGAAAATCATAAACAAATGAATTCTGATCACTAATTCCGTGCAAAATTGCACTCAGACCCAGGAATTGTTGTGAAAGATAAGTATTTTTCTCCATGAAGAGGTGCCAAAATTATACGAAAGTTGTATTGTGAACCATCACGCTTACCTTCATATAACTGTGTATAACTAGATGGATCAATCAAAGCAACAATGTCCAAATTTAATTCAATCTCAGAGAGAAAACTGCAAAAGTAATAATTTCGTCTGTGAGTAAACTAAACTTGGACATTTTTTACTCCAATCGACCTGTCTAGTCGTACACACAGTTAGATGAAGTTAAGCGAAATAGTTCATCATAGAATTTTCGTAGTCTCGGTGCCTCTTCCGAAAGAAAAATGCTTAGTTCTGACAGCTACTCCTTTATTACAGTACATGTATAGTTCTCTGTAAAAACAGGACTAATAAAAGTCCTCTGAGGGCAGCATCAACGGCCAGAGGTTAATACTAAATCCGAGACAACGCTTGTCTATGATAAAAATCGAGATCAAGGGTGATTATAATTGAGGCCGAGATTCATCGATCGTAAGGCCGAAACTGGTCGAGAGGCTCGGTCTCTGTACATTCCTATTCATGGTGCCTATGCTTATGATGTTATTGTTTATGTTGTTATTACTTTTGATATTATTAAAACTATATAATTTTTCTCTCTATTTGTTTTGTTTGTTTTTTTTTTTGTGTTGTAACATCCCGCTTAAAAGTCTCGTGGTATTCGGTTGAAAATGATCGTATAATGATCGAAGATTCCCTTAGTATTATTATTATTATTACAGTAAAACACATATTTAATCGTCCTGTTATTCTATGCTCTAGGAGATAATCTCTAGAGAAAGCGTTTTTTTAAAAAATTTCATTGATTTATACCAAGTCTTATCAGGAGATGTAGCAATTAGATATGGTATCTAGGTGTTTTGGCAACACTAAAATTCTTCTACATTCTTCAAATGTACTGAAAACTTTTGCGAACAGATTAAAACATAGTCACGGAAGGGGTGTGGGTTTGAGTGTAACACAGGGTTACCAAACCGCCTGATTGGACCAGGAGAATCCTAGTTTTTCAGCCTTTCTCCTGGTAAAAAATCTCTTGGTACCAGAAGCTGGTTTTAACGATTTTCTTCTGGTTTCTTATGTTTTGTAGTTTTTTCTCCATGTTGCATTTTAGCGACAAATTTAATCAACAAGAAAGCCAAAAGAAAAAAAAGATCGGCTGTAAGTAAAAATCAAGAATGCATACTTTGTTTTTCCCATGATTTCATCTCAAGATGATGGTGTTTGTGAAACTCCCAATTCAATCGAAAAAATTCATATCTTCAATTTACTTGAACCTGTCAATGATGTTGATTTAGTGTCGCCAATTAATAATTCAAAACCGCCAGCTGCTGCACCATTATTTGTTACAACAAAGAAATTCTACGCATCTTAATTCAAGAAAGAATGGCTATTCAATATTACTACTGTACTTTTCTAAGAGAATGTAACAGTACTGAAACCAATTTGCTCAGTAAATTTGACATTCTTAATCATTCTAATACTGATGAACGAAGATATGATATTAGATTCCATAAAGATCAGAAGAAACGTCCGCTAATTAGATACGATCATGCGTGGGCTTATCTCCTTAATGATGAAAATTTATGTAATTTAGAAAGACTAGTTCAATTTGCTTTTTCTATATCTGTATCAAATGCCTTCTGTGAATCTATTTTTAATCAAATGAAACTTTTATGGAATACTAGTGAAAACAAAATGAAAAATCAACCGATAGCGCTGAATTAAAAGCTTGTCAACGTAGTCTCTTTTGGGCTACGATGTGTAACTCACATAGCTTCTTTAGCTTCATTATACCGATAGAAAACATAGAAATTTTAAAATCAACGATCGTTCTGTTTTCTTTTTCTAAACGGCGTTTTATTTTTGTAATTATTCTTTGTTTATTCAGCACTTTAATTATTATAAGCGTTGAATTAAATGTCTAATCATGCTGCGATATGCATCCATTGTTACATTCTCGTTTTCCAGGTCTGTAATTGGCAGGAGAGAGTAGGACCTTGTGTGGCAGTTACTATGGTCTGCGGCGTAGGGAAGTGGGCGATATTACTAATGTCTATAAATAGGAGGGAGTTGCAGATTTGACTTAAAACTTACACTTACTTTGTTCTTCGAAAATATATGCAAGGTTCACAAAAAATAAGATATACACTTATTTCGCTTCTACTGAGTTTTAAGAATACATATTACATAAATCAGATTTCTTGAAACAAATCTCGTCATCAGAGAATTCTATATTGTTGTCAAGCGCTCTGCACGGTAGATTAAATAACCTATTATTACTGAGCTCTTTTTGCTGCATATCAATTAATAAGTTAACTTTTTTTTTTATGTCATTTGGATATTTTTTGAACAAATATGACAGGATAATTAATATGGGATAGTTGTGATCCTATTTCTTGATTGTTCTATATTGCTTGTCAGTAAATACTACTATGAATGATTTATTAGAAAGTAACAGACGCTTATATAAGAAGCAACGCTAGCTTTCCACTAAAAAATGTCACTAGATATAATCTAGTTTTCGAAAAAAATCTCCTGGTTTTAAAAATATCGATTTGGTAATCCTGGTGTAACATGGATTAAACATCCACATCCTTCATATAGGTGAAGTTAGGCTAACTGCCCATTATATTAGGATTGAGAAAATATTTGCTTCCAAAGCCAATTAAGCTCTCCTTCAAAACTCATTACATATTCATGAAGAAAAGTGAAGTGACTGAAGTTTTTCATTGACTCTGTAAAAAGATACATCAATGTCGCCTGTAGTTAGTACAAAACATTCAAGTTATTGCTCTCTTTCTGTTTTAGAACTGTTTGAAAAATGTCCACGGCTATTTAATTCTGAAATGGACATTAGGCAGTTGGTAAACTTAAATTTGATTGGCAAATTCAATATTTTTATCATTCGATATTTAGTATTTGATAATTTTACTTTCGACATTAATTAGGAAAATCTATTTAGCCAGCCATATACTGATCTATCTGTGTACTAAAACAAGACGGATGTCTTAAATAAAACATTCCATATAAGTAAAAGTACAAAACACAATGTAGATGTTGAATGAGAAAAAGATGCAAATTGTGAATTTAACAGACAAAATCAGATGTCTTGCAAATAGAAAGATCAAGCAGGGAAAATGTCACAATATTTACAAGATTAGAATAAGTTTTGTTAATCTTTTAAAATAACATGTAAAATAGTATGAAAGTTCATGTTTGTTATGGGATTTTTATGGTCGCTGAGAAAGAGTTCAAACTCAATGCAAGAAAGAAAAACGTAAAGCAATTATTTGAATTCAGGCATCAAAATGTTGCCATTGACATATATTCTTTTGATTTCTAGTTGCTCAGTAGATTATCGCGAACATGGACACTAAATAATCTACATCACTTCCTGTAGATAAAAAAAATAATACTATGATGATGAGTCTAAATGAAAAAATAGCACGAAAAAAAAATGTAATGTAATGACATAGGATGAATTGCACATCTAACACATGTTTTTATTATTATTGGAAACTTGATAGACGGAGATAAAACATTGAACAAGATATTTTTTCACTTTAACTATATTCTTTATTAATTGTTGGATAGGCGAATATAATGTCTTTATACCAAATCTACTTTTTATTTTTACTGTAGATGAAATCTGTCTTTCTTCGCGTTTTATATGAGACACTCGTATGCATACTTATCACAGTAGGCAATATGTTGTTAAATTACGCACACAAATATTGACTTGAAATACATATTCAAAAATATACTGTGAAACTATCAAAAGCGTAAGGATTTTACGGGTTTGTATTGATTCAATAGAGTAAATCATAAAAAGTATGCGCGTTAAAATCTCTAAATGCAATAATACTTTAGTGTATGTATACTTAAAAGACCATTGAAAACGAAAGGTTTATTCTATAAAACACTTCAAATCCTCTCTACTTCATCGTTAACGTGCCAGATTTGTTGAGTTAAGTAAGCATACAAATTTTACACAAAATAAACACACTATGAAAAGTCCAATGTATGAGTATTCAAACGTATGATATTTACAGTTTGCGAGAACAGACACACACATGTGACAAGAAGTGAACAATAAAACATCAACAAAAATATCAATAGATGTTTATACGACTAGTCTTTTCCACAAGCATTTAAATGTTCGAACCAAGGTTTTTTCATATATTTTTGTAAAAAGCTCTGTAAGTCTACAGTTCATCGACACCTTCATTTCATTCTATGGTTTTTCTTGTTCGAATGTTGCAGTCACTTGTCTAGTATCTTTGACTTTTATCATGAAATCAATAAATTTAGTGCATTCGAGAGTAAATATTTTGCTCTATTTAACGAGCTATAAATCACGAAGTTCATAAATCTGACATAAATTGACTTTTTCTCAAGGAACTCTTAATATCTTCAACCAAAGATTTTTCTACTACGCCTTTATAATAAAACGATAAAAGTGCATGAAAATATGTACTTGCACATATATGCCAAAGCCCACAAAAA